AGAAAATTGTTGCTAAATTTATTCATGTTTAAAGTCTAGTTACATATAATTAACTATTTGGAAACGAAACAAAAAAAAATACGCCTCTGTAGTGAGCAAAACATGACGAAATGAAAACTGAGAAATTTGCAATTCATACAAGAAAATTACGAAAAAGTTAATTTATGGTAGAAAACAATGTTATTAGATAAAGTTTATGTTTGTTTTGTAGGAAATAAAAACAGTTAAAAATGGCACCTGCTTAGAAATACATTGTATATATTCTCGTTATTTCTATAAATTTCCTTTGGTAGTTCAGCAATTTGTCGTTTTAGTCCTTACAATGATTCATATGATTTTGTTTATTTTTTTTTAGAATTTCATTAGATTTAGCATTATGTTAGAAATCAATTGAATGTTTAGAGTGCTATAAGTCGATATTTTTCCATTTTTTTATAAATAATTGGCTGCTTGCCAAAACATCTTGCTTGTTGACACATTCTCAAATAATGTTTGAATTTGGAAGCACCAACCAATGAAAACGTTTAATGCTCTTATGATGTAGAAAAGAAAAACTTCATATATATACTTTTATGTTGCTATTACACAATAGTCCAGACTATAGACAGTTTTATGGTCTAGACTAAAGAGTGATATAAAGTTCAGACTATAGACTGATCTATAGTCCAGACCACAGACTGATCTATTCTCCAGACTACATACTGATCTATTATATAAACTATAAACTGATCTTTAGTCCAGACCATATATCAGTTTATAGTCAAGACTATAAACCAGACTATAGTACATACTACAAATCAGTTTAGACTAATCTAGTCAAGAGTATAGACTGATCTATAGTTAAAACTATATACTGACCTATAGTTTAGACTATAGACTGATCTATGTATTGTCAAGACTATAGACTGATATATAGGCAAGACTACAGACTGATCTAAAGTCAAGACGATAGATTGATCTATATTCAAAACTATAGACGCATCTGCAGTCCAGAATATAGACTGATCTATAGTCGAGACTGTAGCCTGATCTATAGTCAAGACTATAGACTGATCTATAGTCAAGACTATAGATGGATCTATAGTCAAGACTAATGACCGATCTATACTCAAGATTATAGACTAATCTATAGTCAAGACTATAGAATAATCTATAGTCGAAACTATAGACTGATCTATAGTCAAGACTATAGGCTGATCTGTAGTAAAGACTATAGACTGATCTGTAGTAAAGACTATAGACTGATCTATAGTCAAGACTATAGACTGATCTATAGTCAAGACTATAGACTGATCTATAGTCAGGACTATAGACTGATCTATAGTCAGGACTATAGACTGATCTATAGTCGGGACTATAGACTGATCTATAGTCAGGACTATAGACCGATCTATAGTCAGGACTATAGACCGATCTATAGTCTAGACTATAGACTGATCTATAGTCAAGACTATAGACTGATCTATAGTCAAGACTATAGACTGATCTATAGTCAAGACTATAGACTGATCTATAGTCAAGACTATAGACTGATATAGTCAAGACTATAGACTGATCTATAGTCAAGACTATAGACTGATCTATAGTCAAGACTATAGACTGATCTATAGTCAAGACTATAGACTGATCTATAGTCAAGACTATAGACTGATCTATAGTCAAGACTATAGACTGATCTATAGTCAAGACTATAGACTGATCTATAGTCAAGACTATAGACTAATCTATAGTCAAGACTATAGACTGATCTATAGTCAAGACTGATCTATAGTCAAGACTATAGACTGATATATAGTCAAGACTATAGACTGATCTATAGTCAAGACTATAGACTGACATATAGTCAAGACTATAGACTGATATATAGTCAAGACTATAGACTGATCTATAGTCAAGACTATAGACAAGGCTATAGACTGATTTATAGTCAAGCCTATAGAATAATCTATAGTCAAGACTATAGACTCATCTGTAGTCAATACTATAGACTAATCTATAGTCAAGAGTATAGACTGATCTATAATCCATACTATAGATTGATCTATAGAATTATATATGAGCTCCGATATCTGATGTTTTGAAAAGTAATTTATTTCCTATAGTTGTTATGAGTATGGGTATATAAAACTTTTGTGTTTATTTCTATTAAATATTTGTGTCTTTACAACATCAAAAATCGCCTTACACTAGTTTGATATCATTTTTTGTTTTTGTCATAATACGCTGTTGTTTGAAATAATGTTCGAACCTTAAATTTTTTATGTATGGATGTATGTATATAAGGATTTGTCACTTAAACATGATGATGATGTTTCTTTGTTTGAATTTAAGCTGCCATTATCAAATAAGCCTGAATGTCCTTGATTCTCTTATATTTGTGTATATATATTATGTTTGTATGTATTTCTTTGTTTAAAAGAACTTTGTATACATACATATGTATTAGAAAGGTATTTTAGATAATGTAAGCCATTTCTAGGAGCTAAAGAAAAAGTGTGAGTTATGTACATTTATTTTTTTGAAATTTTGGAAAATTCCATATTTTCCTTTTTAAGAAATTTTTAGAACATTTTTAATAATTCCAAAGCATTGTGACAGTGAAAAGTATAAAATATAGTAAAGGAAATTTTTAGGAAGTACATAAAACGAAAAAAATTGTGGCATAATCTATCTGAAGTATGATACATACTGCTATATAGTCCTGAATACAGAATAGCTTTTCTATTGTCAAACATGATATAGCATTTCGTTCAATTCGGAAGTCTGCATTCATTCAATTAGTCGTTGAGTGGCCCATATGTTACTCTTATTCCTCATGATATTTTAGTATAATCCATATTTGCTAGTACATATACATATACTTATGTTTGTATATAAGTTTTGTATTTATAAACGAAATTGTAAGTATGCATGTAAAAACAAAACAGTCATTTGTCAAACAACAGCAGCAAAGACTACCCCAACATATGAGAATGGGGCAAAACAAGAAAAAAAATCATTCAAAAACAAAAGAACTAAACAGACATTACACTTGTTTGAAGCAACAGCAGCTCCTCGCTCATTCATAAATGAAACGTCAAATGCAAAGAAACAAAGAACGATGTACATCAACAACCAACAACATTAAAATCATTTCAAACAACAATCAGTTCGAACTGAAAACATAATAATGTCATTGATAATGAAGATGATAATGATAGCGAACATAATAATGATGATGTTTGAAGAAAATAAAAATCGTGATGAAATTGAAGAATGATTTTATTAATACTCATGTTATAAGATGGAATATGTATGTGTGAATGTTTATATGAATCTAAGAATGCAGCGGCAATTGGTCAAAACTCAACATGATTTAAGTAAAGAATCAAATAAGCGGTAATCAATATTGTGAAATACATTGTAGTTGTGTGTTTAAGCAAGGCTCCTAATTTATTATTTGCCCATAACTTTTTAAGGTCAATCATTTAAGGGTCGATAACCTTTTTTACTTACACACATACATACCTTCGATTAAATCGACTAGAACTGAAATAGAACTGAACTAGAACTGAACTAGAACTGAACTAGAACTGAACTAGAACTGAACTAGAACTGAACTAGAACTGAACTAGAACTGAACTAGAACTGAACTAGAACTGAACTAGAACTGAACTAGAACTGAACTAGAACTGAACTAGAACTGAACTAGAACTGAACTAGAACTGAACTAGAACTGAACTAGAACTGAACTAGAACTGAATTAGAACTGAACTAGAACTGAACTAGAACTGAACTAGAACTGAACTAGAACTGAACTAGAACTGAACTAGAACTGAACTAGAACCGAACTAGAACTGAACTAGAACTGAACTAGAACTGAACTAGAACTGAACTAGAACTGAACTAGAACTGAACTAGAACTGAACTAGAACTGAACTAGAACTGAACTAGAACTGAACTAGAACTGAACTAGAACTGAACTAGAACTGAACTAGAACTGAAGTGGAATTGAACTAGAACGGACCTAGAACTGAACTAGAACTAAACTAGATTTGAACGAGTGTTTCACTTATTGAAGTTTTAACGAATAGCTCAAAATGTTAGCCTTATATGGGTCCAGGGACACTGAGATATCTCTTTTAATAGAATTTTTGTTGTCCATCTTCCAACTTCAATCTTTGGAAGTTCCACATATTATTTGGAACAGAATTTTATATCAAAGTTATTAATATAGAACATCATTAAGTGGGTAATTTTTAATATTTCGATGGAGATCTGTAAATTAGATTTAATGGAAAACAAAAAGGACATTTTTTTAAATAAAAAATGGGAGTCATACTTACAGTTATGTCTACGCCTAAAAAAAGGAATGCTTTTACTCTTGAGATTAAATAATGTTGCACGGATTTTTTGAACAAAATATTTTGTTTCGTTTTGTTTTATATATCAAACATCAATGTCATCATTATTAAACATAATGAACATCATCATCATCATAATCAGCTTCATAGTCATTGTTGTCATCGTCATTAAATTTATGTTAATCATCATTATAATCGTCATTTGTATTGATGGTCTTTATCATTATTATCAAAGTTGTCGGTCGTATTGCGATGTGTCGTTTGGCGTTAACGTAATCGTCGACTTTGTCTTATAGACATTTGTTTTATAGTTGCTGTTGTTGTTGTTCGAATTTGGCTCGCTCGCTGGCTGCCTTGCTGGCTGGCTGACTGTCATTCATTGTCGTTTGAGGCAGTAGCAGTCAGCAGCAACTACTGCTATTGCTGCGACAGCAATTGTATGAAAACAAAACTCGAAAAATTACACATTCACACAGATATAAACCCACACTCACACACATTTACAAATTGAGTATTGGCATGATGGGCAAGTGGAGCAGTGGTGTCGTAGTAGAAAGAAACACTGACTGGCTCGCAGGCAGGCAGGCAGCAAACAACCAACCAAGTCAACACCACACAACAGAACAGAAATCAAAAAGATTTCTTCGTTTCGTGAGCACAGATGCAACGTGCTACTCACAGCAACTGGTCGCACGTTCGTTCTCCCTTTTTTGCTTTTGCGATACAAAAATTTTCGTGAATAAAAAGAAAAGCGAAAAATACAAATTTTGCAACAAAAAAATAGTAAAAAGAACGTATAAATAACAACAAAAAACGGGAAAAAGTACGTAACAAAAGAAAATCGAGGAAAAGTTTTCGGCTTCATCGGGTTGTCTCGGTAAAATATACAAGTGCTTGTGAGTGTTGAAGCAAATGTGTCGTTTTCGACTATAAGGAAAATAAAAAAGAAACGACACATGGAAGAAAAGTGAAATAAAATAAAATATAAAGAAAAACGCAGGAAATCTTCGTCTGTTTCCTTTATGTGACGAGAGTATTGTTTAACATACGTAACCGTGCACATCTTACTTTGCAACAACTTAACTTTACGCTCCACAAAAGGACCACAACAACAACAACAATAACTAAAGAAAAAATTGTATAAAACAACAACAACCCTAACTAAAATGTATTTAAAAGAAAATCCAACAAAGTGTTAACGGAAATTAATCAAACGCCAAAGGAATAAAAGTAAAATTGTAATATCCGTAAACACACATACACACACACACTCAAATAAAAACCTAAAATGTTGTATATGGAGAGTTAATCAGCAAAAAAAAAGTATGAGTGAGAGTGAGCGAATGAGTGATAATATTTATTTATTAATGTTAGTGTGTTTGTGTAATTCACGTGCTTTTTGTTTTTATTAAAATAACGGTAACGCGTGTGTAATGTAAAAACAACAACAACAACTACAAGAAAATTAAGTGTAAATACAAAAAATTATAATTACAAGAGAGGTTTCTTCAAGTAAAGTCTTTATAGTGACTACATTTAAACGGTTAATTAGAGAACTACTAACTGGCTTTGTTATAATTGTGTGTTACAGCCTAACGGTAAAGTTATATAAACATTCAAAGATTTATAAATTTAAGAAATTTGAAAAAAAAAAAACAATACTTTATAAACACTAAAATAATATAATTTTTCTATTACAAAGTATGACTTCTGTTCAAAGAGTTTCTCCGATAAATAACTATTAACCCTTACCTAAAGATCAATACAAAACATAAAAGTGACTTTTTAGGCTGAATTTGGTGATAGCTGGTTTAATTAATAGGAAGTTTGGTATAATAAAGTAAAAAAGTATTATTTGAAACATAGAAAACTTACGATATAAATCGGGATTTAATTGCTCAAGAAAAATTATGTTTAAACACTTAGTTCCATATAATCGAATTCGGTTTTATATACAGGCCCTGTCACAGAATTTCATTCCGATCGAAAGTGGAATTATTTCCGTATTTTTGCTTCTTCTAAAAAGAAAACGAAAAATTCTTTCGGAATGAAACCACTTTCAGTTTTTGAAGTGGAATTGATATTTGTATGTAATTAACGCTTTTCTTAGTTTTAATAATAAGAACCTTTACTAAAAACATGGTTCTTGCTTTGATTAGCTAAACAGGAACAATTTTAAATGAAATCTATATAATTTTATTCATTTTTTGTCAATTTACGAAATAATTCGGAATTTGGAGAAGCTTAAAACAAAAACGATCGGAATAATAATACGGAATTGAAGCCATTCCGATCGGAATGTGTGACAGACCTGATAGACTTTTGCACACGAATTCCAAATGATTTCGTTGTTTTACAAAATTTCCCATTTTTCCCCTTATTGATACTTTTTTTTCTCCCCCCTTAATATAAAGAATTCAATATTATCTCAGAGACTTAATTAACTAAACTGATTCAATGGATTTCTGTTCATTGGTACTTTTTTCTTATTGATCCTTTTTCTTTCCAATGAAGTTACAAATATTTTAAGAGTATATACATATAAGAGTTCTTATACAAAATTTCATCAAATTATCTGGAAAACTGCGAACTGTAGCGTACGCACAAGATTTGCACACAGACGGACAGAAAGTGCTTTTCAAGCGATTGATATAATTTAAGATGAATGTAGAATCAATCTTTTTGTGTGTTACAAATGCAGAGTACTATTCCCACGATACTGGGTTATATGGTATAATGACCCATTTTGGGAGAAAATTTCTTTCTTCAAGAAGATTTAAGACATTTTTAAATCCACAATCAAAAATGATGCGGGGAATATTGATTTTGTCATTCTGTTTGTAAAACTGAAAAATATTACTCATGGAGCCAGAATTATGTACCGATCCTTATAAAATTTGACAAAGAGATTTAAGTTCCTATAAATCATGTTTATGCCAAACCGCTATAGATGCTCTTTTTAGAATTTTCTGAAGGGGACCTAGGTAGGGTCAATTATGTGCCGATCCTTATAAAATTTTAGAAAGAAATTTAGGTTCCTATAAAATATCTTTATGCTGAATTTCACCACTATAGATGCTTCCTTTAGCCAATTATGAGCGTAAAGTCATATTCTGAAGGGGCGGGTAGGGTCAATTATGAGCCGATCCTTATAAAATTTAACAAAGAGATTTAGGTTCCTATAAAACATATTTAGGTTCCTATAAAACATATTTTAGCTCAGTAGCTGTTCCCGTTTGGACGCTATCGTGTTTTCAACAGACAGACAGGCGGACGGACATGGCTAGATCGTCTTTGAATCTAATAAGGACCCAGAATGTATATACTTTTATGGGTCTTAGACGAATATTCGATGTGTTACAAACTTTGAGGGGGATGGTGGGTTTGCGTCATGAACCGATTAATGTTTTAAATAAAACCTTTTTTTCGAATTATATATCATAATACCAAAATGTTTGGATCATTTATTGAGATATTATATATATTAAAGACGATTTTGAATCCTTTAAAACTTGATTATGTAAAATTGCATTGCTATACATTATTTTTGAAACAAATTATGAGCGCTTAAGTGGTTTTTGAGTGCGGACCTTATATGGGTTCTTAGGTTCAATTTGCCACAGAGATATACTTACATATATTCCTATGAAACTTGTTTGGGATGAGTTCTGTTTCTACACTGGTATTTTCAAGTAACTACCTTGAGCCTTGATTGAATTTCATTGCAGTATTGTTATTTTTAAGCTGGTTGTAAGCAGTAAGGTAGTTTTTTTAAGGGGATCTTATAGGAGTAGTGTCAATTATGGACCTATCCTTATAAAATTTAGTTGCAATACTATTACTTTTATGCTAGTTATGAGCTTTAAAACAATTTTTGGAAGAGGACCTTATAAGGCGGGTAGGATCTGCAGAGATTTTAGTTCCCATAAATCTAGTTCATATAAAGTTAATAGCTATACAGCAATTTTTTGAAAGTATTCTTATAATCTTATAGGAGGATTAATATCAAATATAGTACGATTCTTAAGTAAGACGATTGATGTTCCTATAAAACATACTTACATCGAATTTTATTTCTATACTAGTACTTTTAGGACAGTTGTGAGCGTTGAAGTCATTTTATAATGAGGGCCTGGTATTGGTAGTAGGATCAGTTATAGGTCAGCCATACTTTATAGAATAGATTATGGATACTTGAAACTAATTTGTGCAAAATTTCATCACTTAAAATACCAAATTAACGTTTTTATGACGATTTAAACTCTATTCCGCATTTTCACTTGTATGGGGGCTATGTGGAAGCGTTGTCCGATATTTCCAATTTTCAATAACCAATATTTCTGATCAAGGTAGAATATTTTGAGAAAACTTTTAATTCCTATTCCAATCCCCTAATCTCTATCGTTCCTTTAACAGAAGGACAGACAGATGAATATGTCTAATTCGTCTTAGAATTATACAAGGACAAGAATATATATATATATACTTTATGGGGTCTACGAGCGATGTTTCTATATATCATCTTTTTTGATGGTGGGTATAAAAATAATGTTACACTTTTCGTTGTTTATTAGAAAAGTAAGCAGGAAGGTACTTTTGGTACTTTTTAGTAATAAACTGCATTTATGTACTTTTTTGATATCATATAACTTTCTTTATGTTTAATACCTATGAGAAACTCGGAAACACCCAAAAATATTGGTCATACACCCACCTTAAAGTATACCAATTGACTCAGAATCACTTTCTAAGTCGATTTAGCTATGTCCATCCATCCATCCATCCATCCGTCCGTGTTTATTATTACAAAATGGTCAAAATTTGTAACATAATCACTGGCCCGCAACATAATAGGCCATGTCCGCTACTTGCTTTTCTAATATAATAATGTAGCAAATGCTCTGACAAACTCATTAAAAAAGTTTTATTATAGCGGCATGAGATAAAAATCTAAAACCTAAATGTCTCTATACGTTTTCAATTTAGCATGAATCAACTTGTCACCATGTTTGAACACCCTTTCCTAAGTAGACAAGAAACCTGCATTCTATTCCATATTTCTATTAAGTTTTCCCAATTTACAATTTCATCCCCTTCTCACTAATAGGAGGCTAATTTTTGAAGAGGGACAAAAAAACTTTTGCTCATTGTTTGCAACTGAGCATGGGAGTGCGTTCTTAAGTGAGTATGTAAGCGTTTGTGTGTGTGTGTGTGTGTGTTTAAGTGTATGCAATTGAGGTTAATTAGTGTTTTTGATGCCACAGGTGGATGTTGCCTGTTAGCCAGCCAGACAAACAGACAGACTGCTTGGCTTATTCACTTGCTGCCATTTGCATATTTATTTTCAATTTTACTGTGCGTTTTTTTGTTCTTTAGTGTCTTTGTTGTAATTGTTTCTTTGGGTACGCTACATAGGAAGTTAATGACTTGTTGTAGAGTATATTACAGCACTGATTCTCTCACAGTGCGGAGAGAATTACTTTTAAATCTTTAGATATTGGATGTATTGATACTTTTCCGAGCATTAGTAGGAGTTAAGTAAACATAGCCTTAAAACCTAATCCGGTAACCAGATCGAGTTTTGAATGAACATTAAAATCAAACCCATATCGAATCTATTGGAAAGTGTAAACAAATATATCGTCTTGTACGTACTTATGACAGCAAGATAGTTTATCAAAGAACTCATTACCGATATCTGATCTATACTCATGCTTCAACAATTTTCTTGAGTACTAGATACAATTCGTTGGACTGACATCACGACTATAAACGAAATCTACTTATTAAGTACTATACACTTCATCCAAGTCGTTGCACACCACTGATATATAAAATCCGTGTGGTATTCTACTATTTGCCTGAAAAATCTATTACCTGTCATTTTTCTTTCTTAAAAAAGTGTGAGTAAATTGTTTAATACTAATTTTGTTGTTTGTTTTCTTGTTATTCTCTACACAAATAATATATTTTATTTTTATTTTAACCATTTGACTTTTTATTTGTGCGTAATTAATTCTCTATTAATTTGTAAAAGATGCATTCACAATGCACAGTAGTGCAACAACAAATCATTTAAAACTTTTACAACAGATGTTACCAATAATGTACAAAAATTTTGTGAAAGAATTTTAAAGGAATTTTTGTAATGAATTTGCAAAAATGACATTAATTAATTAATTAAATTGATTAAATGTGTTTACGTATTTATGAATAATTGCTTAATAATAGATTTAAAATAACTGAATCATTTGCGGTGATATATAGTGAAATTCTTTGTTTTTTCAATGTTAAGTTGGCAAGACTATTTCCGGTAATCGACATGTTGATAGGTGTAATGTGAAGTATGTTCAGTATAGAGATATGTGTTCAGTGAGAAACGTTATTTATTAAGCGTTATTAAGTTTGGGCAATGTTGCAACATATTGTTGAATGATAAAGTATCTTGGAACAGAGCCGAATTAACTATCTGTTTGGGAATCCACTTCTTTAGACTTTCAACAATTACCGATATTTTGTTATATTTCAAAAGAATAGAAAATAATCTACAATCCCTCCTCCTAGGTGGATATAAAAACTATGAAAAATTTCCTAACAT